ATTCACCTTCCTATCACCATAACCTAAAGTCGAATGCCAACAACTTTGGATAAATACTAGAAAGGTATGTATAGGGAGATACACAGACAGTTTGCTTAAAGTAGTTTTCTTTTTTTCTATCCAAAGATTTCGGGAAGTACGAGTATTGTCACGAAATTATAAACTAAAATATATCGCCATACACAAGAACAGGCAAAAAGACCCACATTCATCCAGTTCTTCTTTTACCGAGGACTGGTTGATTGCACGGTCTTCTTTAATATATGTAGAAATCTCAACAATTTATATCTCGTAATTCCTCGTTTGGTTGTTTGCAATAAACTAACTCCAGCTATAACAATGTTTACTTAATCTTTGTAGTTTTGGGGACAGGTTTTGTTGCTTTCTTTACGAGGGGATGGGGGTGGTCAGCATTTTGTATTTAAAAAAGACACAAAAGTTCTGCATAATTCTCCTGGAGCAATATTTTAATTAGTTTGTGACTTCACACTCTATGAAAAGTTGCATGTGCACATATACATGTTTACAAACATTTAATATACATGTATACAAAATTTTGATGCTTTTAAAATACGTGTATACAAAACTTTAATATATGTGTATACATACGTTAAATATAGGAGTATAAACACTTTTAATGTGCGTGTATACAAACATTTATACACGTGTACACCAACGGTTAATATACGTTTATACGTTGAATATAATTTTATATAAACGGGTAATATACATATATATAAATGTATACATAAGTTTAAATAGACATGCATAAAACCCTTTATTATGCGTGTATACAAAACATCAAATATATTTGTGCACAAGTGTTGAATGTACGTATATACAAATGTCGAATATACGTGTACACAGCGGTGAATATACGTATATAAAAATGTTTATAATGTATGTGTGTGAGAGGGACGACTATACCCCAAGAGGCTTGAGGAAATTCAATATTCTTCAAAATTTGTTAATGTAAAAATTACTAACTAATGCTGCAAATCTATCACTGATTGAGTTATTATATCCACTGAGAACATTTAATCTAAATGACAGCCTATTCCCATCTATCATAGCTGAATATCTAATAAACGTTAATATCTGTACATCCTTCCTCATTAAGATTCTATTGAAAAAGTCACTAATGTTTGATAAGATTAGCCGTAGGGAATGACTTGTGACATTATCCACCTGACTAGTTCAGATGAATGTATATTGTCAAACAGCGAAAAGTCCTTTTCAAATGTAAGGTGGAGCTTGTAAAATAATATAAATAACCGCGTGTAATCATTCACCTCAAGGGTCCCTCAATGAGCCAAGATCCATTGAAATATTGCAAGACTGGTCCTCTTTTTTCTTGCATATTTTATAGATTGGCCTCACTAGAGCTATGCCAATACTAAGGAAACCTGTTTAGAAAGTCCATCTCGATTCAAAGGTTAAATGTGTGAGGCCAACAATGTCTGTTTGGAGACATTTCTCTGCATCTTGCAAATACCAAGAAAGCGATTATAACTATAATTTGATGTAAAGCAAGATTTCAGAAACTTTGCGTCTTTGTCTCCTCTATCGATATTTATATATTATTGTTATTTTTTTTAAATTATGATTATTATTATTATTATTATTATTATTATTATTAGTAGTAGTAGTAGTAGTAGTAGTAGTAGTAGTAGTAGTAGTAGTAGTAGTAGTAGTATCATTGAAATATCGATAATGAATATAGAAAAACTAATATTGGCTAAAGTATATTTTCTACATTTCTTGTTCCAGACAAGTTCTATATTTATTCATTGTAAGCTATAATAATGCATTATGCCAAGCGGCCGCCTACATATGTAACTATATTAGAATTATATCATTGTAAAGGAAACCGCTTCAGCTTTGTGTTAACAGAATACATGTTAAGAGTCAGATACCGTAAAATTGTATGATATATAAAACTTACTCTTTTGATTCGAATAATCTAACCTAACCAGTTCTCTCTCTCTCTCTCTCTCTCTCTCTCTCTCTCTCTCTCTCTCTCTCTCTCTCTCTCTCTCTCTCTCTCTCTCTCTATATATATATATATATATATATATATATATATATATATATATATATATATATATATATATATATATGTATATATATATATATATATATATATATATGTATGTATGTATGTATGTATGTATGTATGTATGTATGTATGTATGTATGTATGTATGTATGTATGTATGTATGTATGTATGTATGTATGTATGTATGTATGTATGTATGTATGTATGTATGTATGTATGTATGTATGTATGTATGTATGTATGTATGTATGTATGTATGTATGTATGTATGTATGTATGTATGTATGTTTAATTGACATTGTTTGTTTGCTGGGTTTTTTTTATTTCATTACATGTCATTTTAATGTACCTTGTATTTTGGACTTGACGTTGTCCACAACCGAGGTTTATTTTTCATTTAATTCTCTATAAACAACTAATACATAGCTAAATTATTCTGTATGTGTACGGGTTTAAAATTAGAATTATTATTAAAGGGTTTACAATCAGAATTATTTTTAATAGAATTAAGTATGTTTATATGGGTCTAGGTCTAGGCTTTGGAAATTCTTTATTGTATTTTACATAATCCAGGTTATTGTTCTTATTTTGCTAAAATCACGATCATTCTGAAGTTTATTTTCCATTAGGTAATAAGATTTTAGTAGAAACTGCTAATTGCTACCTCAGATCATGTACGGAACAATAAATATTGTTACTGGTAGGATTTTTTCCAGTGATACTTTAATGTCTTGCACTTTGAAATTGTGTTGTCTTGTGTTGAAATGGGCTGAATTTTATTTTTTTAAATTATTAAATTCAAGTATTATTTTCTCTGTAGATACAAAAGTGCTCTGAAAATATTCTTGGATAGAGACGCCCTCTGAAATTTATGGCCAATTCACACTTGGAATTATATTGTTGTGATTCAACGAAAGACTGTTGAAACATCAACACTCTATAAGCTAGCACAGGCACGTCATCGCCTTCAGCTGTTTCTTTTTAATCATATTTTAAACCAAGCCATGTACATTGAGTGTACAGTTGATTCTCTGATGCTGTTACAGCCAGTATCTCGCTATTATCAATTTCCACTTCATTACTAGAATAATGGGTTTGTAAAACTAATTCTGCCATAATGCATTGTTTGGAACAGTTAGTGACACTACAGTCGTTACAAGCATCGTATTGGATATTTGGCAGCCAATCAGATCTTCTTGTAATAGGTCATCATTTTAATATTTCACACATTCGGATGATCTAATTTCATCAGAAGTGTTCATCGTACTCCATGGAGTTCACACGGTCGGTCTATATCATCTGCTTTATTTGACGTATTGATGATACATTAATCAATAGGTTTCAGTGTTTTTTACAGTTTGATTGGCAAAACTGTTTTCCCTACACGGCACCTGATGTATTCCATTTCCGTGTTCATGGCATTGGATTGATTTAGTATATAACCCTTAAAATAAATTTTAAAAAAAAACAAACTAGAAATATTTTTTAAAAAAAAACAGATCTAGTATGGCTTCCAGCATATACAAAGGCAATGTTTTAAAGATTTCTATTGTTTACAATTTAATTTCAACCCTTCTATTCCGCACGCACCGTTATCCGGCTTGATCAGCACGCGGACGATGTAACAAATCGAGCAAGGAAAAGGTATTGATTACTGTGCAAGTTGACTGTGGTGTATTTTGTTCTTTAGGAATTAATTATATCAGACTGTCATGTGTTATTCGTGCTTTTAAAACTTTGAACAGAGTAAAATTATTCTGTCGCGTCAACTTTTAATAGCCATACTCGATAGTGACTCTTTTCCCTCTCTATGCTGACTTTGAATGCCATGTAGGCATCTTTGTTGGTCCATTCTTTGTGTATATGCTTGACAGCTTGCATGTCTGCATATGAGTTAATGCCAAAGTGGAAGGGAGTCTTTTACAAGTCACACTCTAAATATAAATAAAAAGGTTGTGCTAAGCAAAAAAAATTAATATTGCCTAAAATATGACAATGTTTTTTCTCAATAGTATTTAAGGTGAGTATCGGATCAGGTGTACCTTGTTTATGCCTTTTGTCCCTCAAAAAGGAAGAAGCACGACAGCTAGAACAATAAAATGAAACCGATCTTTGCTCATCACGTACAAAAGTTATTTATTATTTCCACAGCACACGCTAAAGTTGTAACCCTATTAGTCAACAGGGTGTGGTTTTGCCGACTGATTTTGGTACAAAGGAAAGTTGTATCAAGTTAGAACAAAATATGTCAGTATCAACAAGTTTGTATTTGTTAAGCTCTCGGCAGAGCTAGTGAAGGCATGCCTCGAAATGCTTAGTTTGTTTCTGATTTTACCTTTGTTAGGTAGCAGCACTAATATCTATTTTTGTTCTGGTTGTCTTTTAGAATATTTTCATTCCTTTTCTGGGCGGAGAAATTTCAACTTGACTGATATTGATCTTTAATCAATATTTCTTTTTATCTTCGTTTCCGTGACATCTGTTTTACGTATGTTTTACCACTTTACTTTTAAAACTATAAAACTATTTTTATTTTTATTTTTAAAGTTCATTTGATATTTCTAACATTTTCGCGCTGCGCAGCTACTTACATTTTAAAATGACTCTGATGTATTCAGAATACGTTTCTTTTTTCACGTCTTTAAGCTGTTTGGTTTGGTAGGTATCAATTAGGTATCAATTAAAAAAAGTTATTTTGCTATTGACAAAAATTTTCTCTTCTTGCTTTTATTACCTTCACTTTGGACAAAGCCGGATTCAAGGCGGAGCAAACGAAACAGTTGACAGCGGTAATTTGTTGTTTTTTTATAATAAAAAGGCCACAGAATATGTCCTTGTATCATGTGTGCCAGATCCACTTACTGACTACAAATCTCGGTTTTACTGAGATTGCAAAACTGCAAAACTCTCCTCAACGTATGCCATATTATTATAATAACCGCTCCGGTGTCCTAGTGGTTAGAGCGTTCGTCTCGGATGCGGGAGGTCGTGGTTTCGATCCCCGGTCGAGTCTTAACAAAGTCTTACAAAAATGGTACTAACAGCTACCTCTCTTGACATTCAGCAATAAGAAGTTAGTGTTAGGACTGGTTGGCCTGGTGTCAGAATAATGTGACTGAGTGGGACATCATGCTGCATATCTGCGGCATGATGCCCCAGTGCTAGACATCACTATAAACTGCCACACTGCAGACATCGTAGCTATATGACTTAAAATTGTTAAAAATCATAATTACATCACATCACATATTATTATTCGTCCAAAGTGTGTGTGTATATGAGTGTGTGTCTTTCAGCTTTTTGTGTTTATCCTCCTTCACTGGTTTCTCTATGTACGTGTTGAACGTTTGAACGTTACATGTCTAACGTCAAGTTCAATCTGTCTGTCTTTGTGTCTGTCTCTGTCTCTCTGTATATTCTGAAGCTGCATATCTATGAGAATATATTGAAAGCAATAGACTATATCAACTTTGTCTCTAAAATAAAAACAACCACAAAAGCGCCCAGTCTTTGATATAATCCGCACACAAATTACAAAATTTTGAAGTAGGTACGCATTATTCTAACTAATACTTACTTAGAATGTGAGAAACGTAATCTGAAACGAAACGATTTTAATTATCACTCAAGACATGATAGATGGTTGTCGTGTTTTCAATATTGGTCAAGACATGTCATCCGGATATTTGATTCAGATTGTAATCAGGGGTGTGTTGTGTTTATGGAAATAAAAACTCGTTGCACCTAACTATTTATAATATATAATATCTCTTGGTAAACACTGCGTTAGTGTTCCTTCTGAAGTGTTGCAGATCTTTACAACAAAAAATTTACAAATTAATGCAAATATCAGGAACTTCATCTAAATTTACCTATTTGCTGCTTGATTTAATTAGATATTAGGCAACATTCTTCATAATCCACCATTTGTGATCAATGTTTACTGACAACTGCTGAAAGCTTGCCAAATATTGGGTAATGTGATTGATATCATTGAATGGTCACACACACACACACACATACACACACACCTAAGAGACAGACAGAGATATAATTCCGTGTTGTTGTAATTGTGCAGTGTTCCCGTCTAAGTATACAATTGCAAAGGAAACCATACAACAATCAATCAAATGTGATGTGTAGAAAACAACGAAAAGGTATTCAAAATTACACAATCTAAATATGGCTTTTCTCCATGAGATGACACTAGTGAAAGCTACACTCAATTTTAGTGATAATTTCCCTTTCCGTTCCCTTACACACCACTAAATGGCGTGATCGACGTGGGAACAGTCGTAAATCTAACAATAAAGATAGTAATAAGCTTTGCAGGGTCACCAACTGCAAGCATTCTGTTTTAAGAATTCATTCAGTCAGTGTATCATGCCTTTTTCTTGCTTAGTTATGATTATTTAGTATATATTTATTGATCCAATGGTTAAATTATAAGTTGAAAAAGAGACGCTTATTTGTTCTCTAATACTAGCCGATTTAGAATATTTAATCAGCTTTTCAGTTCTTTTGGGTGTCTGCTTACTTGCTCTGTTTGCTTGTTATTTTATCTGTTTATTGCCGTGCTCTTTGTTTTAAGCTATATATAAGTAAAAGTTATTTATTTAATTATTTATTTATTTATTATTTTCCATTTTTATTATTTTTGTAAACCTTCACATTTTTTTAATTTAAACTAACAAGCTTGTTACGAACTAGTTATAATTTGAAAAGGTTCGTCATCGGAAACATACGTCGTTGAAATTTCGACATCATCCAACCATTATGATATGCAAACAACATAAAATTAATATCATCTTTGTTTTATACAATCTAAAACAATATGTACAATTATGAGAATTAAATGTTTGCTATTTATAACACCAGCTAATCATTTATACATGGATATAGTCGTTAATTTAATGATTCCCAAAAACAGTAACGTGGATTAAGAGTCCATACTAGTTATATAATACTAACAATATGGTATATTGAACATACAGGGTTCTGAAGGGCATTGGTGATAAATTGCTGCTATCTAACATTTAAATTGTACATAATTAAGTACAATACTTTGATACCTTGATGTGGTTAATTGAGTTATAATCCATTTCAGCCACTTCAACTGTTATCAAAATGTCTTACTTTTATGTCCGCATTGAACTTTCCTTATGCTAAAATGTTAACATAAGGCGGTGCTCTTTTGTTATGCATGCACGAAAGAAATCACTATAATGGTATTTATTAAGCTGCTTATATAATAGTCCAACTCACTTATATTTGTAAACCGATTATAGTTTGTCATTCGGATATGTATGCTACTCATAAGGGCTTGAAAACTTTACAGCCTTATACTGAATACGCACCACCAACATAATGGCATGCAACATTTGCATAATTTATTATGTTCTTTTCAAACTTTGAACTTTAGGAACACTGTTTTAGTGATTGAAATGTGTGTGCGTGTGTGTGTGTGTGTGTGTGTGTGTGTGTGTGTGTGTGATTTTGGATTTTTTAACGTAGCTTTAACAATTCTTCAGTCATATAGCTACTGTGTCTGCATTGTGGCAGCTAATAGCGATGTCTAGCACAAGCAATTCATGCCGCAGACATTTAGCATATGTCCCACCCAGTCACATTATCCTGACACCTGTGCGACCAGTACTAACACTAACTTCTTAATGCTGAGTGCCAAGCGTTGCAGCTGCTAGTGCCACTATTATACGTCTTTGGTATGACTCAATGGGGGATCGGATCCGAGACCTCCTGTACAAACCACTAGGTCGCAGGAGCGATCTGATAGAAATCTGGCAAAAAAAGAATACGTTTAAAGCATGCAAATTTCAGCATTTTAAAGAGTGAAATCTATGACGACGTCAGAGTTCTCTCTGTGAAAAAATTTCCGTGCTCAGACAAAGAACCAGTAAGCAGCACATAAGATAACACTTTGCAAGTGCCGGTTGATCTAATTGGACAGCTGTCCACGTCGATTACTGGTGATGGATAAATGACATAGTTTATTTTATCTGCGTTCTTAACTGGTCATCGATGATGTTCTGGTAACTATCAACTATCATATTTCACAAGAGCTCTTTGTTTTGAATTTGTAAATATATCAGCGTCAAATGCTTGGTGGGTTCAACGTTATTGTCGCATCTTGTTTCCCTTCTTTCGCAACGATTTCAATCATAGTTATGTCATCTTTCTTATCAACAATATATTTTCGATTTTTTTTTTGCTTTGCTTCACGTTATGATCTTTGTCGATGAAACTTTTTTGTTGTTTTATCAACTTTCTCGTTATCTGGTCACCGCGTTTATGAACATCAAAGTGTTGGCTTTGTTAACAATGAGTTCTCATTTTGTTAGGTCTGTATTACTTTACCTACATGAAACCTTTCATTGCTCTGCAATTCTGCAAAGTTTTCACCAGGTAATGGAGTTTATATTTTCATTGCCTGCATAAATTTCACCTGGCAATGGAGTTTAAATTTTGATTACATAGATGGTCAATGAAACGTCAAGTTTTCCGGATCTTATATGATTTATATTCAGTTATTTTTGCTTTTTTTGTGCACACTACTCTAGAAATTGTGTCCTCATCATTAGAGACATGTTTACTATTCCCGCAATAAAGACACTTTTTCCATATGTCTGATATCATTGTTTTCCAACCATGTTTAAAATTCAGACAAAATATTAAAAAAAAGCCTTATTAAGCACTCGTTGCATGAAGTTTCATTATAGGGAAACTCGGTAATACTAGTTTCCTCTTCATGGTATATCAATCATATATATATATATATATAAATTGTTTGTGTGGAAGTTTTAAAATTCTTTTTTTTATTTTTGTTTCATTACATTTATTGAAATGATTTTTATCACGGGATTCGACATTTGTTAAAAGTAAATTCTGTTTGTATAAAAGGTAAAGTATTACATTAGCATTATTTTTAGCTGATATTAGTTCAAACACTGTGTAGATAATGAGTTAAAATGATTGTTCACTATGAAGATCATATTTCACTTGCGTGATCAGAATGTGCTATCAACGCTTTTTTATTGGTTCTAAAATAAGACTATTCTGGTATACGTGTCAAAATGTCTTGAAGTCATTGATCGTAAATTAATGACATTTAGGTGAGATTTAATACTCAATATCACTGTTTTCTATTTGTATCGTAAAATAATACCTTGATAGTTCAGTAGTAGTTTTGTTGTTGCTAGATGAATTTGTTTTTGAGTTTTTCTATTCTTCGGATTTAATAATTAATCCTCTTGGAAACGTCTACAAGTCCAGCTCTTCATCAAATTCTTGTACAAATACGTTTAGTGGAAATTATTTAGAGTTCAAAAGCCGGAATGTCTATAACAATATTAATTGTTCTTAATGTTCGTTTATTTTTAAATGTCCCGACTCCAAACAGTCCTAATCCAACATGTTTCTATTATTTAACAATCAACAACCAATGTTGCCGTATTCATTTTTAATGTCACCATAATAAATAAGGCTACCTTTTCCGTTTTAAATGTCTCCACGTGTAATAGCCCTTATGGTTGAATAAACATTTTTAGAACATATACAATTGGATATAAGTCTCATTCACGTTTCTTAAGACATTTGCTTACCGTTCTTTGTCTTTGTGTGATTGATTTTAAACGAATACCATGCCTTTCGTGACTTTTGTCGCATGTAGTTTGAGAAGCTCTTACCTGGAGAAACAATGTTCCACCCCAGGTAAAGTTGTACGCCTGCACAACGAATAAAGGTGAAAAACAGATCTAAGGCATAACTAAGTTATGTCATGCCTTATTCTGTGAAACCACCATTCTTTACCTTTAGATGATTAATTCTACACGAATTGAGATTTTAAAATAACCCAGAGGCTCTTTCTTATTTCAATATTATTCAGCTCATCGTTACAAATTTCCGGAACTTTATTATTCATTTTGTGGCAGCGAAACACGTTGTCCAAGTGACAGAATCACACGTAATAGAATGCGATGCTTTCTTGTATGTCCT